TGCCGTGGTGATGGCGCGCAGCATCTTGCGATCCATTGACACCTCCCCCTTCCCACCCTCCTCCCTCCCCGCCTCGCCCCTCTCCGCTTCCCCCCTGCCCGCCTCCCCGCCCGCACTCCCTCCACTGCTTCTCCCCGGACTCCCCTTACTTCCCTCCCCCCGCTCGCCCCCCTGGCCCGCCCAAGCGCCGCCGCCCGCCCGCGCGCCGTCGGACTCCACGTGCGCCACCGTCTCATAGCTGCGCGACCGCGGCATGGGGCGCCGCCCGCTGCCGCCCTCCCGTGCTGCTGCTGCTGCTGCGGCTGCTGCTGCTGACGCTGCCGTCGCGCCCATCCCCATGGGGCAACCCGACAGTCCTGTCCCCCCATTCGCCCCCCCAAGCGCCTGGCTCTGCTGGCTGCTGCCGCTGCTCCGCCCCCCCTCGCCCCCATACTCGCCGTTCCCCGCCCCGAACGGGCTCTGCTCCCCCGCATGCACACTCACGCTCCGCCCCACCTGCCCCAAGCTCTTCTTCCGCCCTCGCCGTCTCCGCCCGCCCAGCCCACTCCCCCCCTTGTCGCCCTCTGCGCCACCCTTTCCGCCTTCCGCGCCCTCCCCCTCCTCTGCCGTCGCCGCCAACAGCTCAATCTCCCCCAGCCCCCCGACGGCGGCACCGCCATCCGCTCCCCCGTCCCTGTTCCCCCCGACTAGGTCCCCGCTCACTGCCATCATTTCCGCCAGCTGCGCCGCATCCGACCGCGCGCGCCTCAGGCCCCCGAGCCCGCCTAGCGCGCCCTTCAACCTCCCCGACAATCCCCTATGGAGGCTCGTGGCCCCAGCTGCTGACGTGGCTGACAGCGATGATGACGCGGGTAATGGAGGTGGCGGGGTGGATGACGGAACGCCCGACGCGGGCGCGCGGGAAGCGGAGTGGGTGCGCGGGATGGAAAAGCCCAGCGCGAACCGCTGTGCGCCTAAGGGCGGGCGCACATCCCCCGCGTCGCCTGCGGAACTGGACAGCGACGCCTTGAGTGGCCCCGAGGCGGGCTTGTCCGCGGAGAGAACGGGCGAGCGGGAAGGCGGGACAGCTCCTGCGCTCTCTGCTGACGTGGCAGCAGAGTCGTTACTGGCTGCACGCGTGCGCACGATGGGGTTGAGCGGAATGGATCCCGACGAGGAGGACTGCGCGGGGCGGAGGTCGTGCGCGGGGGACGCGAAGGCAGCGGCGGCGGCGGAGAGCAAGGAGGAGGTCATGGCGGCGGTGGCGGTGACAGTGCGCCGCAACGGCGGCGGGCGCAAGCCGCCCCCGCCCGTCCCACCCAACCCGCCACCAGCAGCAGAAGCGCCGCCACCACTCCCCCCACTGGCGGCTGCAGCGGCGGAGAGTGACGCGAGCGCGAGCGCGTCTGTGTTGCGGCTGCTGCCGCCCTTGCGCCCCCACAGCTTGTATCCCGTCCGCGCCTCCGCTGCCTCCCCCGCTGCCATTCCCGTTCCCCCGCCCGCCTCCTCCTCTGTACATTCCGCCAGCCCGCTACCAGCTCCCCCCTGCTCTGTAGCGCCTTGCGCGTCCTCGTCGCGCGCGCGCGAGAGTGCGGCCGCGGAGTGCGGGGAGAAGTGCGCCTTTCCGTGGGCCTCCGCGCTGCCGAACGAGCGCGGATGAGCTTCTAAGCTCGACCCGAACGTGGGGGACAGGGGCGGGAGGGCCGATGGATTGGCGGGAGATAGACGGTTACTGCCCATTGGCGGACGCCGGGGGGGAACTGGCGGCGTCGCGGAGGGAGTGGGGGAAAGCAGAGGGCTGCGCGGAGCAGGCAGAGCGGGGAAAGTCAAGGAGGAGGCAGGCTGTTCTGTCGCGAGAGGCGCAGAGGACGGTTGGTGCATGCCCACGGCGTCGAAGATGGCTCTCAGGCGATGCCGCCTCGTCCAGTCCTCCCGCTCGTTGCCGCACTTGGCGCATCTGCAGTTTGACACGACGGAGAGCCAAGAGGAAGATTCATTTGCCAAGCATTATGGAACTGCGATTTCCGAGACATAAGGAGGCCGTGAGGTGGGAGACTGACGCGGAATAGCGCGTCAAGGCCGCACCTTGTCATTTCCTGGCTCATGGCTGACAAAGTCGAGGCTTTTAACAGGACCAGCGCGAATTTCTGGTAAAATTACCGCCAAGCAGTGGTCATCCAGTCGCTTACCGCCACGCGGAGGTCATCCAGTCGCGGAACTCGATCAACTCCGCCTCCGACAGCCCCTCCACCGCCTCCAGCACCGACATTCCGCACACCTCCGACATTCCACGCGCGCTGTCATCCGCCGCCGACCTCTCTCCTCCGATCAACCCGCCGCTTGCGGAAAAAGGATCATCCGCTGCAACAGCTGCGGCCGACCTCGGGCTTTCATTCAACGAGTCTGGGTGGTTGCCGGCAATCGCTGCGCCCTGCAGTACGTGCTGCCGCACCGCCTTGGACACATTGTTTCCTGATTCCGCCAATTGGCGCGATGTCAGTGGATGACGGCGGGATGCAGATTGCTGCTGACCCATCGCTACTATTAGGGCTAACAAGTTGCCTACAATACAAACTCGGACGTTCTAAAAGGATCAAATTGAATGCTTAATTCACATGGCTTTTTCCCTTCACATCGAGTTCTGAAACAAGGTGGAAGAGTTAAAACCTAACACCTCCTAGGGATGTCAGATACTGTCGAGATGCGCGCCCTATTTGACGCATGTTGAGGATCGACGCAACCTGAGCAAGAGGACGAAGATGACGAGGTACTGTACCATACAAGGCTCTGGTTATCCATTACGGCAAACCACATCTGATATATCCATAGACGGCTCACCTCCGTACGGAAGAGCAAGCCAGGTGGGTCTGGATGAAACGCACGGCATGGGTGGGATTCGGCAGTGGGGAAGTGCAGAGGAGAGGGGAAGGAGGAGGGGGAGAAGAAGGGGAAGAAGTGGAGCTGGGATGTGGGGACGGGGAGGTGTTTGATGCCGCCTGGCCCGCCAAAGGGGGTGTTCGTCTTTCCCATCAGTGGTGGGTTCGCCCGCTGAATTTCCCTCTTGAAACAGCAGTTTCAACCTTTTTGAATCGCAACGCACCTTTTAAAAACGTTCATTGATTTGCAAATGACTGTTCTGTATAAATTCGTGAATACAGTACAGTAGCAAGGCATGCAGACTTGTGTGAGATTTTCTACATTTATGGCTTACACGAAATAGCCGTGTTTTGGAACGCGAACGTGTGACTGTAACGCAGCTTCCACATAGGAGAAGGTGTTTGGCTGCCACAAAAATTATTCCCGTAATTCCGCCCACAAATCTTAGCCTTCCGCGCCACACTTGCGAGCCCACTTTTCCGCCACCGGGGCAAAAGGTGAGTGGCGCTGGTGGAAGTTGTGGCTGTCGCAGTGTCGGAATGGATTCACTCTGGCCGTTGGATCATGTCAGGCGTTTCCAGGAGAAATCGCTGAAGGGGCACCCAAGAGGATTTTCCGTTGGCTGTGTCTTCGGGTCAGCTTGAACCGAATCGGGGCCGAACCAATCACCTGCCCGTTCTCGGATTATGGGATGGGGGGAAGGGAAGGGAGGAAACGGTGATGAGCGTGATGAGCGTGGGTTTGGGATGGACCATACCTCCTGGTCTGGGGTTTCGCAGCATGTGCTCATCACCACCACATGCTGGAGATACAGTAGTCCCTTCCTGCCTAAAGGCCACCCCCATGCCTAATCCCAAGCTTTGGCAAACCTAGAAATCTTGTAGTTAGTTACTAGTCTTACCCGTACCCTCGTAAGTCCAACAGATTTATTTGTATAAGGGAATAGGTCATGGTTGGAGCAGTCATAGGGGTTACAAGTCATCAAAGAGAGGCTATGGCGTGGAAGAGCAGGGAGGCAGATTTCCATCAAAAGGCATATCATGGAAAGACGCAGAAGCTTGCAGGTGGACCTAGATACCAGAAGAGGCACGACTCTGAGCGAGTACCTGCAGCTCATAGCTCACACGATTTTGAGGCAGCCGTAACGTCGAATAGCATAGAACCCGCAAGAATAGCAAGCCGAAATCTGGGAAGTTTCATCTCTAACGTGACTCCGCGAGTAAAGCTTCAGTATATTAACAAGGTATGTTCACGACAGTATGATAATATCCCTTTGTCACTCGTTTACATCCACATTTTTTCCTGACAATAGTGTCTCGTTTTGTAGGAATCGGAACGTTTTTCACACCCGGGAAGGCACGAATCTTCAACTTGTGCGTTTTATACGTTGGGAGATCTGTGGGATTCTTTGGAGGAGTGGAGCGCGTTTGGGGCTGGAGTTCCTATTTCACTCGCTAATGGCACGCATGTAACTCAATATTACGTGCCCTCCATTTCCGGTTTGCAACTATATGCGCGAAGCAGCTCCTGGCAGTTACCTGAGTCGAGGTATGTATATCGAGTTCAATGGAAAGCCATATGATTTTCTCGGTTTCAATATTTGTGTGGCACCTCATGCCGTTCTCAATATTTGTTCCACAGGAACAGTGGCCCCGACAGTGACTGCAGTGACGTGAGCTTTCATGATTCCAGTAGTGACAGCAGCGAGAGCAGTGATAGGAACGAGGGTCGAGGAGTTGACGGTGTAGCAAAAGCAGTCGAGGGCTGTGTGATAGATTCATCCGTTGATGGCGCATGGGGTTCCAAGATACACCCGTCACACTTTCATATGATGGAAGAGCTTCTTTCAGGATTGGATGGTCATAACTCTGTCGACGAGTGTGCCGCTGTGTCTTGGGATGCCTGTCGAGACTGTAACGGGGGTCGATTGTTACTGGAGTTTTTCGAAAGAGCACCTCCTCATGTGCGGCTGCCACTCTTCTCAAAGGTAGGGTTTGTTACTTGCATTTCTGGCTTGAAGGCTATGGTTGGTGTCCCCCATTGTTTAAGCCCTCCGCTGACATTGGTTGCAGGTGGAAGAGTTGGAGAGGGAGTTTCCCTGTCTCAGGCACCTTCGCAGCATTGATTTACACCCACGAAGCTGGATGGCTATTGCATGGTAAGAATGAGTGTTATTCAGGAATCTGTCTTGGCGTTTGTTTGCTGGAAGGCAATGACGTTATTGTTCTGCATTTCACGAGTTTGTTGTTGTGTGTAGGTATCCACTATACAAGATTCCGGCTGGGCCCAGTGTTCGTGATCTTGGGGCATCATTCTTGACATTTCACAGTCTCTCTTCACCAGGCCCATCTTTATCGGGTGAGCCTTGTATTACAATCTTATCAGTCTGTCATGAAGGTGTATCAGCTGCCAGCAGCTAAATTGCCGTCTTCTCTCATGCACTGCAGGTTCTTGCGTTCGCTGTAACGATGAGTATTGGATATCCCCCATGAAGTTGCCTCAGTCCTGCATGTTCTCTCCACCACCGAGTTCGCCTGAGGAAGAACATGGGGCCATGCACTGGGGCAGTGATTTGCATTCAAGGAGTTCCACTACAGCTTTGGCCCCATTTGGTTTCACTGGTTACAAGGCCCATGGAAACTTGTGGTCAGATAGGTGGTGCATACAGGGCCTAGAGGCAGCAGCGGAGCAGTGGCTGAGGCATATCAATGCCAACTTACCAGACCATTCCTTTTTCACCATGCAGCAGTACACAGGGCGCTAAGCTTCTACTGGTTCTTTGGTGTCTGCTCTCTAACATGATAAGGGCTCCAATCAAGGGCTCCAGTCGAGGTGTTGCAGCTTGTTATACATCTGGCTGTCAGGTTAGCTGGTGCCAGATCAATTTTGGTTCAAATGTTAGCAGATAGCCAGGTGCGTAGTGCTGTCTGCTTACCTATTTGTATTGGATAGTCCATTGACCCATCAACTGATCTTAGTTTTGTCGATTATTGTATCACATGTGTTTAGTCTTCTTCTGGGTTGTGACTAGTGCAGTGTATGACACTTGTGGTATTTCCGGGTAGAAGGCCCTTTCGTTACACAACACGAGCTCTAGAAATAAGGCCGAGGCAATAATCGCCGCGTACCAAGTGGGTACACGAACATATGCAAATTCCGAAGCAGCTTCTAACAGCTGTGTTTCGAGCAACTTCCCTGCCGAATTCCCGTCGCAGCAGCCCAACCCCCCACATTCACCATCACTTCACTCCGCCAAAGAAATCCGCATTTTCATTTTCAATGCTTTCCTAGCGCGTATCACCACCATAACTCTATCCTTTGACTAGTCATTCTGTTTAGAAGCTGCCGCAATGTCCTTGCCGTCGCATTTAGCGGCGTCGCTTCGCTGCTTGCACGCCGCTCCTTCCGCTCCCCGCCTCCCTTCCCTCCCCTCTCTCGCTTCCTCCTCATTCCCGCGTCACTCAGTGTTTCCCTTAGTGCATCCCCGCAATGCACGACGAAACCCACGCTTCTCGTCTAGGCGCCAATCCGCGCGGGTCGTGCGCGCGAGGGCGAGCGGGGCGCTTCCAGCCGACGTGGACGCGATCATAGCGAGGGGGCGGGAGGCGGGCGCGTTTGTGGAACACAGCGCGTGCGTGGTGCCCGGCGCGACTGACGGGCCGTTGCGCGGGCTGACGTTCGCCGTCAAGGACATGTACGACGTGCGTGGGGGGGCGAGGGGAAGGTGGGGGGCGGTGGTGAGACAGATCCACGTGCGACGTGCAATGGCCGGCACTGGATGGTGGCGCGTGTCTAGGCATGCAATGCTGCGGCGAAGCGGCTTGAGAGAATGAATCGCCGTGCCTGCCTCCCTCTTCTCACAGTGCTCACCACTCCCCTCTCCCCACTCTCTGCTGTGGCCGCATGCGTGCACGTGTGCGCGCAGGTGGCGGGCGTGCCAACGGGCTTCGGCAACCCCACGTGGCTCGCCACGCATGACGTCCCCCAGGCCACCGCCCCCGTCGTGCAGGTGCACGAGCATGTGCATTTCTATGCCTCATTCCTTCCTTTCCTGCATGCATCCACCCCTCATCTCACCTCCTCTCAAACCCATCCCCTTTCTACCACGCATAAGTCACCATCCAATCCCTTGCACTGCTCTGCACCCCTCACAACCATTCCCCCACCACCCAGGCGCTGCTAGAAGCGGGCGCCAGCGTGGTGGGCAAGGCGGCAATGGACGAGCTGGCATTCTCGCTGGCGGGGGAGAACGCGCACTACGGCACGCCCCTCAACCCAAAAGCCCCTCTCCGCATCCCGGGCGGCTCCTCCTCGGGTTCCGCTGCTGCGGTGGGTGGCTTTGCTTGTCCTCAGTACCTGCCCTCTGCTCCCGTGCCTCTTGTGTTTCCACTGTCTCTGCCGTCCCTCCTTGTTCTGACACGCTCTTCACCTTCCTGCACCGCTCCCCACCCATTGGCTGTGTGGAAGGGGCGCACACCCCACCAGCACCACAGTGGACCCCTGAAGGCAACTGGTGGACTTTACATTCCCCACTCCGCCAATCCTCCCCTTGGCAGGTGGCAGCGGGGCTGGTGGACTTCGCCCTGGGCAGCGACACAGCGGGGTCGGTGCGCATACCCGCCAACCACTGCGGCGTGTGGGGCATCCGCACCTCCCATGCCCGCCTGCCACTCACCGGCGCTCAGCCCCTGCAGCCATCCATGGACACCGGTGAGAGGCGCGGTGGCTTCACGTGCCGTGCTCATGTGTGCCTGTGCGTGACTATGCATGAATGTGCGTGACTATGTGTGCATGTGCGTGAAATCATCACACACTCGCTCTTTCCCATCCTTCCTTCCTCGCCCTCCTCCTCCCAACACTCACCCCCCCCTTTCCCCCCCTTTTTTGTGTCTCCCCACCCCACCACACCGCAGTGGGCTGGTTTGCGCGCGATGCCTCTGTCCTTCAACGAGTCGGCTCCACACTCTTCCACTCCCCCTCCCTTGCCCCCTCCCCCTCCTCCACTTCCTCTTCCCCATCATCCTCCTCCTCCTCCTCCCCCTCCTCCCTCCGCCCCTTCACCGGCTGGCTGGTGGCGGAGGACGCGTTTGAGCTAGCAGACAAAGACGCCGCCCGCGCAATCTACGACAAGATCTCGCCACATATAGACGAGATCGCAGCATTGCTGGGCGGGCGGCCGGAGGAGATGCGGGTGGCGGGGGAGGAGGGCAGCGAGGTGGGAGGCGTGCACGAGTGGGTGGACGCCATGAGGGTGCTGCAGGTGAGCAGAGGTGCAGCAGCGATGTTTTAGTTGTTCAAATGATACAACTGGTGAATGTGGTGAGGGCGCACAAGTGGCCTTCTCTCCCCTTCTCCTCTCCCCTCCAGCTGATAGAGGTGTGTCAGTGCCACAGGCAGTGGATCACGTTTCACCACCCTGATTTCTACAACAGTCTCAAATATCACATTCCTTCCTTTTCCTCCGCTCCCGTTCTCTCCCGTTCTCCCTCCCCCAATCCCCCAGCTGATGGAGGCGTGGCAGTGCCACGGGCAGTGGATCACAGCGCACAGCCCTCCCTTCTGAGATGTATCACAATTCGTCTCCCTGCTCTTCGTCTCTCTCTGACTTCACCCCCCCCCACCCGCCCCTTCCCAGCTGATGGAGGCGTGGCAGTGCCACGGGCAGTGGATCACAGCGCACCGCCCCGCCTTTGGTCCCGGAGTGGCGCAGCGCTTCCAGGCTGCCAGCGCTGTGGACCCGCAGGGGGAGGCAGTGGCACATGCACGGGAGAAGAGAGCCAGGTTCACATCGCACATGGAGAGCCTCGTTGCGGGCGGCAAACTGCTCATGCTGCCGGCCGCCCCCAGCATAGCGCCTCTGAAGGCCGCCCCGCCTGCTGACGTGGACTCCTTCCGCGTGCGCACCCTGGCCCTCACCGTCATTGGCGGCGCTGCCGGCCTGCCTCAGGTGAAAACAACAGAGGGGCTCAGGTGGGAAAAGCAGAGAAGGAGAAGACGCATGCAGGTGAAGGAGAGGCTACCAGGATTCAGCCTCTCAGACTGATGGCCCCATGTGTCCTGAATCCTGATACCCTCTCCTTCAGCCTCTCAGACTGATGGCCCCATGTGTCCTGAATCCTGATACCCTCTCCTTCAGCCTCTCAGACTGATGGCCCCATGTGTCCTGAATCCTGATACCCTCTCCTTCAGCCTCTCAGACTGATGGCCCCATGTGTCCTGAATCCTGATACCCTCTCCTTCAGCCTCTCAGACTGATGGCCCCATGTGTCCTGAATCCTGATACCCTCTCCTTCAGCCTCTCAGACTGATGGCCCCATGTGTCCTGAATCCTGATACCCTCTCCTTCAGCCTCTCAGACTGATGGCCCCATGTGTCCTGAATCCTGATACCCTCTCCTTCAGCCTCTCAGACTGATGGCCCCATGTGTCCTGAATCCTGATACCCTCTCCTTCAGCCTCTCAGACTGATGGCCCCATGTGTCCTGAATCCTGATACCCTCTCCTTCAGCCTCTCAGACTGATGGCCCCATGTGTCCTGAATCCTGATACCCTCTCCTTCAGCCTCTCAGACTGATGGCCCCATGTGTCCTGAATCCTGATACCCTCTCCTTCAGCCTCTCAGACTGATGGCCCCATGTGTCCTGAATCCTGATACCCTCTCCTTCAGCCTCTCAGACTGATGGCCCCATGTGTCCTGAATCCTGATACCCTCTCCTTCAGCCTCTCAGACTGATGGCCCCATGTGTCCTGAATCCTGATACCCTCTCCTTCAGCCTCTCAGACTGATGGCCCCATGTGTCCTGAATCCTGATACCCTCTCCTTCAGCCTCTCAGACTGATGGCCCCATGTGTCCTGAATCCTGATACCCTCTCCTTCAGCCTCTCAGACTGATGGCCCCATGTGTCCTGAATCCTGATACCCTCTCCTTCAGCCTCTCAGACTGATGGCCCCATGTGTCCTGAATCCTGATACCCTCTCCTTCAGCCTCTCAGACTGATGGCCCCATGTGTCCTGAATCCTGATACCCTCTCCTTCAGCCTCTCAGACTGATGGCCCCATGTGTCCTGAATCCTGATACCCTCTCCTTCAGCCTCTCAGACTGATGGCCCCATGTGTCCTGAATCCTGATACCCTCTCCTTCAGCCTCTCAGACTGATGGCCCCATGTGTCCTGAATCCTGATACCCTCTCCTTCAGCCTCTCAGACTGATGGCCCCATGTGTCCTGAATCCTGATACCCTCTCCTTCAGCCTCTCAGACTGATGGCCCCATGTGTCCTGAATCCTGATACCCTCTCCTTCAGCCTCTCAGACTGATGGCCCCATGTGTCCTGAATCCTGATACCCTCTCCTTCAGCCTCTCAGACTGATGGCCCCATGTGTCCTGAATCCTGATACCCTCTCCTTCAGCCTCTCAGACTGATGGCCCCATGTGTCCTGAATCCTGATACCCTCTCCTTCAGCCTCTCAGACTGATGGCCCCATGTGTCCTGAATCCTGATACCCTCTCCTTCAGCCTCTCAGACTGATGGCCCCATGTGTCCTGAATCCTGATACCCTCTCCTTCAGCCTCTCAGACTGATGGCCCCATGTGTCCTGAATCCTGATACCCTCTCCTTCAGCCTCTCAGACTGATGGCCCCATGTGTCCTGAATCCTGATACCCTCTCCTTCAGCCTCTCAGACTGATGGCCCCATGTGTCCTGAATCCTGATACCCTCTCCTTCAGCCTCTCAGACTGATGGCCCCATGTGTCCTGAATCCTGATACCCTCTCCTTCAGCCTCTCAGACTGATGGCCCCATGTGTCCTGAATCCTGATACCCTCTCCTTCAGCCTCTCAGACTGATGGCCCCATGTGTCCTGAATCCTGATACCCTCTCCTTCAGCCTCTCAGACTGATGGCCCCATGTGTCCTGAATCCTGATACCCTCTCCTTCAGCCTCTCAGACTGATGGCCCCATGTGTCCTGAATCCTGATACCCTCTCCTTCAGCCTCTCAGACTGATGGCCCCATGTGTCCTGAATCCTGATACCCTCTCCTTCAGCCTCTCAGACTGATGGCCCCATGTGTCCTGAATCCTGATACCCTCTCCTTCAGCCTCTCAGACTGATGGCCCCATGTGTCCTGAATCCTGATACCCTCTCCTTCAGCCTCTCAGACTGATGGCCCCATGTGTCCTGAATCCTGATACCCTCTCCTTCAGCCTCTCAGACTGATGGCCCCATGTGTCCTGAATCCTGATACCCTCTCCTTCAGCCTCTCAGACTGATGGCCCCATGTGTCCTGAATCCTGATACCCTCTCCTTCAGCCTCTCAGACTGATGGCCCCATGTGTCCTGAATCCTGATACCCTCTCCTTCAGCCTCTCAGACTGATGGCCCCATGTGTCCTGAATCCTGATACCCTCTCCTTCAGCCTCTCAGACTGATGGCCCCATGTGTCCTGAATCCTGATACCCTCTCCTTCAGCCTCTCAGACTGATGGCCCCATGTGTCCTGAATCCTGATACCCTCTCCTTCAGCCTCTCAGACTGATGGCCCCATGTGTCCTGAATCCTGATACCCTCTCCTTCAGCCTCTCAGACTGATGGCCCCATGTGTCCTGAATCCTGATACCCTCTCCTTCAGCCTCTCAGACTGATGGCCCCATGTGTCCTGAATCCTGATACCCTCTCCTTCAGCCTCTCAGACTGATGGCCCCATGTGTCCTGAATCCTGATACCCTCTCCTTCAGCCTCTCAGACTGATGGCCCCATGTGTCCTGAATCCTGATACCCTCTCCTTCAGCCTCTCAGACTGATGGCCCCATGTGTCCTGAATCCTGATACCCTCTCCTTCAGCCTCTCAGACTGATGGCCCCATGTGTCCTGAATCCTGATACCCTCTCCTTCAGCCTCTCAGACTGATGGCCCCATGTGTCCTGAATCCTGATACCCTCTCCTTCAGCCTCTCAGACTGATGGCCCCATGTGTCCTGAATCCTGATACCCTCTCCTTCAGCCTCTCAGACTGATGGCCCCATGTGTCCTGAATCCTGATACCCTCTCCTTCAGCCTCTCAGACTGATGGCCCCATGTGTCCTGAATCCTGATACCCTCTCCTTCAGCCTCTCAGACTGATGGCCCCATGTGTCCTGAATCCTGATACCCTCTCCTTCAGCCTCTCAGACTGATGGCCCCATGTGTCCTGAATCCTGATACCCTCTCCTTCAGCCTCTCAGACTGATGGCCCCATGTGTCCTGAATCCTGATACCCTCTCCTTCAGCCTCTCAGACTGATGGCCCCATGTGTCCTGAATCCTGATACCCTCTCCTTCAGCCTCTCAGACTGATGGCCCCATGTGTCCTGAATCCTGATACCCTCTCCTTCAGCCTCTCAGACTGATGGCCCCATGTGTCCTGAATCCTGATACCCTCTCCTTCAGCCTCTCAGACTGATGGCCCCATGTGTCCTGAATCCTGATACCCTCTCCTTCAGCCTCTCAGACTGATGGCCCCATGTGTCCTGAATCCTGATACCCTCTCCTTCAGCCTCTCAGACTGATGGCCCCATGTGTCCTGAATCCTGATACCCTCTCCTTCAGCCTCTCAGACTGATGGCCCCATGTGTCCTGAATCCTGATACCCTCTCCTTCAGCCTCTCAGACTGATGGCCCCATGTGTCCTGAATCCTGATACCCTCTCCTTCAGCCTCTCAGACTGATGGCCCCATGTGTCCTGAATCCTGATACCCTCTCCTTCAGCCTCTCAGACTGATGGCCCCATGTGTCCTGAATCCTGATACCCTCTCCTTCAGCCTCTCAGACTGATGGCCCCATGTGTCCTGAATCCTGATACCCTCTCCTTCAGCCTCTCAGACTGATGGCCCCATGTGTCCTGAATCCTGATACCCTCTCCTTCAGCCTCTCAGACTGATGGCCCCATGTGTCCTGAATCCTGATACCCTCTCCTTCAGCCTCTCAGACTGATGGCCCCATGTGTCCTGAATCCTGATACCCTCTCCTTCAGCCTCTCAGACTGATGGCCCCATGTGTCCTGAATCCTGATACCCTCTCCTTCAGCCTCTCAGACTGATGGCCCCATGTGTCCTGAATCCTGATACCCTCTCCTTCAGCCTCTCAGACTGATGGCCCCATGTGTCCTGAATCCTGATACCCTCTCCTTCAGCCTCTCAGACTGATGGCCCCATGTGTCCTGAATCCTGATACCCTCTCCTTCAGCCTCTCAGACTGATGGCCCCATGTGTCCTGAATCCTGATACCCTCTCCTTCAGCCTCTCAGACTGATGGCCCCATGTGTCCTGAATCCTGATACCCTCTCCTTCAGCCTCTCAGACTGATGGCCCCATGTGTCCTGAATCCTGATACCCTCTCCTTCAGCCTCTCAGACTGATGGCCCCATGTGTCCTGAATCCTGATACCCTCTCCTTCAGCCTCTCAGACTGATGGCCCCATGTGTCCTGAATCCTGATACCCTCTCCTTCAGCCTCTCAGACTGATGGCCCCATGTGTCCTGAATCCTGATACCCTCTCCTTCAGCCTCTCAGACTGATGGCCCCATGTGTCCTGAATCCTGATACCCTCTCCTTCAGCCTCTCAGACTGATGGCCCCATGTGTCCTGAATCCTGATACCCTCTCCTTCAGCCTCTCAGACTGATGGCCCCATGTGTCCTGAATCCTGATACCCTCTCCTTCAGCCTCTCAGACTGATGGCCCCATGTGTCCTGAATCCTGATACCCTCTCCTTCAGCCTCTCAGACTGATGGCCCCATGTGTCCTGAATCCTGATACCCTCTCCTTCAGCCTCTCAGACTGATGGCCCCATGTGTCCTGAATCCTGATACCCTCTCCTTCAGCCTCTCAGACTGATGGCCCCATGTGTCCTGAATCCTGATACCCTCTCCTTCAGCCTCTCAGACTGATGGCCCCATGTGTCCTGAATCCTGATACCCTCTCCTTCAGCCTCTCAGACTGATGGCCCCATGTGTCCTGAATCCTGATACCCTCTCCTTCAGCCTCTCAGACTGATGGCCCCATGTGTCCTGA